CAAGCCCAAATACCCATTCTGCAATCAAACAATTCAAGAACAATTATTGAAACAGTTAATATATATACCAACCAAATTCACTAAATTTATTACTATAACAGATTTTTATAAAAGCATATACCCTAAAATGCTATCAGAAGAATAGAAGGAGAAAAGGAAAGGGATTGATTAATCCAAATGAATATAAACAGGGAATAAGAGGGAATAGATTTAGAAAAACTATGTGAAAGAAAATTAAAGTATGCGATATACCATCTTGCAATAGAATGTATATAAAAGCTATTTTTATAGAATAAAATAATTTTCAAATAAATATTATATAGGAGATCAGAAAGCGTACACGGAGACACTTAGAGGATCGAAGACAAAAACACAAGTGCACTAGCCATCGCTTGGAAGGCTACTGAGGGTATTAAGACCCTATCCCTAGGAAAGGGGGATCATATAAATTAGAAGATCATCCCACAGTTAGCCCAACCGTAATGCCCCCTGGGAGGCTCGCCTATACGGCCCGGTTGAAAATTACTAATAATAATAATAATAATAATAATAATAATAATAATGATTTGTGCTTCTTTATTAATCGTTTTCATAATGGATTGTTAATAAATTGCGTGTTAAAGTAAAGAGATAATAATTGAGGTGAAAGTGGCCCACATGATGATATGGCCCACATGATGATAAACCACGTTAGTATATTTATAGAAATCTTATAAAGAAAGATACAATTCAATTTTATTGAAGATTTTTTATAAGATAAATTATATTATTAAATAATCCTTAAAATTAGCTTTATTTATTTGTTTTTAAAATCTATTTTCAAATAGTTTTTCTTATAATATATAAACTACTTCAAAATAAATAAAACAAACTTAATAAGAATTCCTTATCTCAAGTTCGAGTTTAAACTTATCTCACTTAAATTATATAACTAATATAACTTTAGTTAGTTTCTATAATATTAAAACAATATATTCAATTCAATATACAATCTTAAGTAATTTGATAAAATAAAAAATAAAAATATTAAACCATTAATTAAAAAGAAATATATCAATCGATTCCTTGAATTCTAATTAATAATTATAACGTAGTTTAACACCGAGTGGCCCATATCACCAAGTGGCCCACTTTCACCTCAATTTACACCTTTCTCTTTCAATATGCGTTTATCAATAACCTATAATGAATTCGAATAATCAAAAAGCTCGTATACTCCTCGCTATTGAATTTATTTATAAAGATAAAAAACTAAGCATTCGAAAAGCTGCTATACTTTATAATATCTTTTATACAACTCTTCGATATAGAATAGAAGGTTTACCTCTTTATACAGAAACTCGAGCTAATAGTTATAAGATTACAGAATTAGAAAAAGAGGTGATTATTTAATATATATTTGATATATATTTAAAAGGATTCCTATTGAAATTAAAGAATATGGAAAATATAGCGAATTATATTTTTGAATCGAAAAATATAAAATATATTGGAAAGCTTTAGGTGTATTGATTTATAAAGTATTAAATCGAATTAAAGATATGTTTTAATTATGTTTATAACTTTCAAAGAGCTTTTTGTGAGAATCTTAAGCTTATTGAAGAGTAGTTTCGATTAGTTATAAATATGTGAGCAAAATATAGTATTTTGAATAAAGATTTCTATAATTTCAATGAAATAGGCTTTATAATGGGGATTATATATATAACAATAATTGTTATTAGTATTAAGAAATATAATAGAAGTAAATCAGTATAATCAGGCAATCGAGAATGGGTTATAGTAATAATATATGGAAATAGAGAGGGTAATATTATTCCTTTATTTTTAATAATTCAGGGACAGGTTCATCTCTTCAATTGGTATATCGAAATAAATCTTTCTGTAGAATAGGCTATTAAATCTATATCTAATAAATAAACAAACAATGAAACAGGTTTAGAATGATTAAAACACTTTAATAAGTATATTAAGAATCAAAGAAAGAACAAATATCGAATATTGGTATTAGATAGGTATAAAAGCTATAAATCAATACCATTTCAGAACTATTATAAAGAGAATAATATTAAATATATATATCTATCATTACATTCAAATCATTTAACCCAGCTATTTGATATTGACTATTTTAGTAATCTGAAACGTTTATATAATAATCAAATTGATAAATTTATCAAAACATATATCAATCATATTTCAAAGGTTGAATTTTTTATAGCTTTTAAAACTGTATATAAAGAATCAATCACCTTTTAGAATATAAAAGCAGGATTTCAAGAAACAAGTTTAATCCTATTTAATCCTAAAGCTGTATTCTCGAAATTAGATATTCGAATTCGTATATTTACTCCCTCCTCTTTCAATCTAAATTAATAGATCTTTCAAACCCCTTATAATCCAATTGAAACTTTTTTTTAATCAATATTAATTAAATCTCGAATAACTCATTATTAATCAAATTTCTTTATATCTATATTTGAGATTGTATTAGCTTTAGTTAAAGGTATAAGAGATTAGTTTATAAGAATATATTTTTAAATATAGAGATCTGTATATTTTAGCCAGTAAATGAGGTATTAAATAAATATCGATATACGAAAAAAAATCTAATTATATTAAGGAGGAATGCTTATTGGATAAAAGGCTTTGATATATTATTTTAATAAGAGATTGATATTCAGATAAATATAATGAGTGTTAAAAGGGAGGAATTTTAATAGAAAAGCATTTTCTAATCGATATTATAGTAAATACGGAAAGATAGGATATAATACAAGAACTTATCAAATTAATATAATAGATTCTAGATTATTAGATTCTTAATAGTTTTAATCAATTAATTCAATTGTTATTGAATAATATGAATTTGAAAGTATAAATTGAGGTGAAAGTGGGCCACTCGGTGTTAAACTACGTTATATCTTTTCTTTTTACTTTATTTATTCCTTGAAGGTTGTATATTGAATTGAATATTTTTCTATTAAATACATCACTAAATTCTAAATCCGTTTTTAGCTCAAGCAAAATCTATTTTTAGGGTTTATGTCAAATGATTCAAATCAGCCTCGGTAGGAGACCTAGAACCCGGCAAGCTTAACATTTACAGCACAGTAATAAATACGCGAGCCCGCGAGATGGATGAAGGGGTCACGGAGAATGGGTTTGATGTACAAAGTAGTCAATAATGGACTTCTCATTGGGGATTGTACGTCTTGTATTGGTGATGTGACTCGGAATCCTTATTATGAATCATGGTAATCACTCCACATTACTAATGCTAATATCTAGGTATTTCGGAGCCGTTGACTCATTTTGACCTAAAATATTATACATGACAGTAAGACTGAAAGAAATTGGCATGGAGTCATACAATGCATTACAATTGATCAAAGGGATGCCCGTCCAATGTGAATAGGCCTTCATGCTCAAATCATACCAAGAGATTTCTGTTCCGTAGATTGAGTTGAGTCTTTGATGCTTGACTGCATTACAGAATACTTCCCCTGACTATCTTGAATCGAAATACTCCAAGGTGTTCGAATTGCTTTTAGTGATTATTGAGGTGCGAATTTATCCGCCCTCGAGTCGCATCACATGATCAAGCTAGCCTTTTAATCGTTAGATTTATTAGAACCACTTACGAAAACATAATACCACCCCTTGATTTGACCATTCGTTTTCACACGTTAAAGAGAATACATGGTCATAGTAGATCTCGGTGTAGAGTTCATCGTATGTCGAATGCACTAATGAAAGGTGTCTTGTATGTTTCAAATCTGACATACAACTTGCTAGTTCTGTCCTATCTCAGTGTCGAATAATTTCTCCTTGCTTGTGATAATTAGTGAGTTACCTCTGTTAGCGAAACAACAAACAGAAATTAACTACCTTTGAGGGGACTTCAATCATTCAGATCTCTTATGGTCTCATATTAAATGCATTCAATTCCAATCAGTAATATTAAGAAGGCTCAATGTCTTGTTTCATTCTCTCAGATTTCATTATTTGATTTGGAATCAATTTATAATTCAAATGAATAAATGAGATTGAGAGTGATCATTTTCCGTCTGTTTTCTCGCTAATACAGAGGTTAACCTTATCATGAACTACGATGTGAGAAGGTGAGGTTGGAATTTAACACAGACCAAGCGCTATATAACCGCCACCCCTTCATTCCCACTTATATCACATCGCAGAAATTTACAAGTTCTACCCCTTCAACCATGAGATGCTCTATCCTCTGCTGATTTGATCAAGCGCTTATCCGATCTAAGAAGCATGTACTACTAGCAATGTGAACTTGAACACGAATTCACTTGTGTTCACGACAGTTTTGATCGAAAATTCGAAATCGGGGGCTCAAGGCTGTGAGGAGAAGTCAGATTCTTCAACATTTCATCCGAGTCAGCCAATGTTGTCTGCAAACGGCAGTGCTCTGCCTTACCTTATTTGGTTGCATCAACAGGAGCCTGATTTGTAGCAAATTCTATTCATGGCCTTCGCTCTAGTTCTGCAGAGGTTATTTGATCGGGACAGCTGCTTGGTGAACTCATTCGTGCAGGGACAATGAATCAGCAGAATTCAAATAATTCATTTGGCATACAGCTGCATACACGTTTTATGTGGCTTCGGAAGTGTTCCGAGCTCGGGTACCAGAAACGAGCAACTTCTGCGCCGCTGACTACAAACGGTGCATACACGTGAGAGTAATCAGCTGATTGTCAATTGCAAGAGATCTTTGCCTGATAAATGTTGAGTAATTGAGTACTGGTTCTGGTAATCATTTGTTTGCCAAACGAGATGCATGCTCGTAAGTTCTTTCTGGTCGACTCTCGCAGCATAGAACTCGTACTCATTACACCACCTTCAATGAGAAAGCCCTCACAGAAATCTATAAAGACCAACGAGTCGCACACTCATTTTCAGAGACTGCAACAAAGTTCATCAGAACACGTTCCCATCGCATTTTTCATACACCGTCTGACTTGATATCCAACATGCTTTCCAGCAAGCCAAAAATAACAGCTCTTGGGCTCTCTCTACTCCCAGCCAGCCTGGCTCAACTTTCGGATCTTTCTGTCTTTCCTCCTGGTGGTCCTGGAACGATTCTGGTCACCTTGAATGGACATGGCGCTTCCACCGGTTGCCTTAATGACCAAGGTCTATGGACTGTGAAAGACACCTGTGCTAGCTTTGAAGGTAATGGTCAAGGTGGACTCGGATCGGATCTAGGATATATCATCCTCGATTCCAGCTCGAGTATAGTCACAACGACTGGTACCTGGAGCACTGCATGGGTCGGAACACATATTAATCAAGGCGTAAGTAACATATGTCTACAATCATAGTATGGAATTATGATACTAAAAGATTCTCCCTTTGTAGAGAGATGCTATTTTGCTCCAAGCACAAATCGGAACAACCGGAGCCGCGCCGTGGGGAGGACCTTTATGGTACGCTAATGCACAACCCGACGACACATCCAATGTCGCGCTCAACGGTCATTCCATCACCGATTCTGTCCAGGTTACATTGACCTTCAATTCTACTTTCATTGCCTCTTAGGGCTCGAAGAGGATGGGTTTTTGGCGGTACATGGGAAGTAAGACGAAGAGGTTACAGAAAATACGAGGGTGTACTTGGAGACTCTCAAACGTGGATGTATTCTCATTTAAAGGATAAATCTTCATGTCAAGTAGCTTTATGAAGAGGACCCACGTTTTCTTCCTCATTTCTCTTACTTATAAATATGAATGATGTGGATTTGACTCAATAGGCTGCATCTTTGCTTCTGAAAGTACAGTAAGCTGATCAGGTTGGGTGATGTTTTTGAGGGTTAGTAAACTTCACGATTCACAATCACAATCGCAATCCGTCAAATGCCGGGCATTTCCCAACTTCCTAGGTTGGTCTGATTATCTACCTTGAGTGTTCAAAATGAATCGATCATACTCTGTGGAAGGAAATCTCTCACTGAAAGTATCAAGAGTAGCAAATCCATAAAACGGGCGAGGTAATCATTACTTTTCTGGATTTAAAAAAGCTCCAGAGAGGCCAACCGGAATTTTTCTTTTCATAATCACTCAAATAAATCGATATGGATGCGTTCTCTACAATGGTGGATTCAACTATCAGCTTACTCTCTTGATCAATAGTTTAGTGGTACTTTCAGAGAAAATGGATCTTCAATTGGTGTTTCGGTCCAGTTTGAAGGTTATTGAATACTCCAACAGTGGTCATCACCATCGCATATGTAAAAATGCCAGATACATTACGGTCCAAGAGGTTAGATAGGGGTCCTCAGTGTTTGCATGAAGTCCAATATGTATAAATTATTCGAGATATAAAACTGTTAGTATGGTTCAACTTCATATCAAGTTTGTGGTATGTGAACGCTCGAATATTTGATATTTATGAGGTAATCTATTGGCTAGATATACACAGGTATGCTAGGACTATCTAGACCTCCAGCTAGGTATTGATGCAACTGAGGCGCGTATGCGGCTGGGTTGATGTGGCTAGACGCGCAATGTTGGTCTACCAGTCACGTTATCTTGATTTTCATTTTTCTCAACCTCACATCAAATTTTCGAATCAAGTGATCAGTCTAGTAGTCGTTCATATTTCTCGATCAACATCTTAATATCTCGACGGCCAAGTGAGCCAACAAATGTCCAGCTTTTTAATGGTATGCCGTTGTATTTGTCTTCCCACAACGCTGACTTCACACAAGAAATACCTACCCAGTGGGATGTTTGAATTACAATCCACTTGGCATAGTCACGTTACTGTTGGACTTTATGGGGTATTGTGATAATTCTATCTGTAATGTGTCGAATGTTCCTTTCGCGGAGGTAGTCTTAACCAGAGCATTCCCAATCGGTAAGGAGTCTTGATAGATTGGTGTCTTCCATGACCATTATGGTTACGCCGATCATGAGCTGATGGCCACCAATCGACAACAACAGTGGAAACAGAAATGATAATGACGCTGACAATGGCAATGGCACCTGCTGTATCTATTCTCATTTCCATTCCTTCACACCAAATCGCATCAAATCACCTGATTAAGATAGAATTGGAGCACGACCTAAAAAAGTTGATAGCATCTCGAGGAAGGTAGGTAGGTATGTGCTTACCCAATAACTTCATCGTCCCAGATTCAATGCGAAATGAGATTTCCTTTTCCTATGGTTTTCATTTCCATTTCAAGTCAATTGGTAATTGTTGAGATGTTGAGGGTGCGAAAATCATCATTTTCCTACATGTCTAGGTTACCACCTCCTAACATATCATGGTCAACGGCAATCGCGAGAAGATGCGATTTCCTAAATAGGTAATTACACATGATCATTGTCAACTAGTCGATGACATCGAACCATTCTCAGTTCTCATCGGCCCTAATAGCATAAGGGTCGGCGATCGAGCTAACATTTTCACCATGTTCACAATGTTCGTTCCTTCCATTTTCAATTGAGGAAAGTACCCATCAAGTTGAAGCTAGTAGTAAGTCAGTCTGGGTATATAATCCCTCTCATTCCCACACTATTCTTTGAAAAAATCGGCCACACGACAACAACAGCAGCAGCAACAACAACAAAAGCAACAACAATAACACAACCCTGCCGCTGCCGCCGCCGCCGCCCTTCCCTCTCCTCCCACCTCCTCTCCTCCCACCTCCTCTCCTCTGCCCCCCCTTCTTCTCTTCGGCCGAATGGCCAAGAATAAGCGTCGCGCCGCTGGGCGCACTTCACGTACCCCTTCGGGGGCTTATCCTGGTGGTCCCGTTTCTTCCACCATTTTATTGCAAGTCCCAGGGGGTGGTATCCCCTGGGCATTCATCGCTTTTCTTTTGGCTTCGGCCTCTTTGTTTGCCCTCGGGCTTATTCTGGTCGTTTTGTCGGGCCGGATGGAGGTGGTGTTTAACACCTACCTTTTAAACAACTGGGGAGAGCTGGACTGTGGGGTCGGGGGGGTGACGGTTGCCGGGGCTCGGAAGCCCTCAGGTCTTCTCCTCCGGGAGTTGACCTGGGTGTAAGTTCTTCTCTTTTTTAATTTCCTAGTTTGATTCTTGATCATTGCGCATTCTTTACCCCACCACCTTTCATTTCTCTTTCTCTCGTTTTCTTATCAACACACTCCTGTCACTACACCACTGTTGCACGAGTTTCTCTCTTACGTTGTCGCTTTGATCAATTCTCTACACTATCACCCTCCTGTTGCTGTCGTGGCATGCTATCATCCCCACATCTTGCTGCTATTGTTTGCTATTCTATCACTCACTCTCACGTTGCCAACGTCTTCTTGTTGCTCTCATTCCTTGTTATCGTTTCATCTATCTATTCCACCACATTGTCTCTATTCATGCTATGTCAGACTATCAGGTTATCGTCAACAACCAGTTGCTGTTGATCAATCAAGTGTTGCCATATATCCAAAAAGTCTCATACATTCAAATTCCCTTATGTTCTCAAAGAATTAGAGACATTCAAAGGCTGTCAGATATTCGAAGCCTCTTATGAACTCAAAGGGTTTGGGACATTCATATAATCACAATCACTCAAATCCTTTCAACAATACAAACCATTTGGGACATTCACACACTCACAATCATTCAAATACTTTCAACAATTCAAAGCATTTGGGACATTCATACAATCACAATCATTCAGATCCTTCCAACAATTCAAGACCTTTCAATAATTCAAAGCGTTTGAGACATTCACAGAATCACAAATATCCAGAGGTTGTCAGACATTCATAGCTCCAGATGTCACCAAAGTGCTGGAGACAATGGATCTATCACTGTCGCCCCTTCCTTCATCATACCTTCCTATTACTGTCAGTCTACATATGTGCTGGGCCCACCATGAGGCCAGTTTGTCCTGTTTGCTCAGACTTGAATCGGGCTCGCACGGACCATGCTATTTACCTATATAAACCTCTTCCCCTACCCTCAACTTCTCTTCCTTTTCTATCATGGACGCTGACCTATCTCGATTAGGGCACCGGCCTTTGGCATCTCGATCCTCCTTGCCTACTTCTTTCTCGCCGCTCTCTTCCTGCTCCGACATACCAGTTTAAGCCAATGGATCTCCGGCGCTCTCGGTCTTTTAGCTTTCGCGGGATCGATCGTACTTATCATTTTCCGACAACTTCCGGCCTTGATAATTGTTGTTTTCGGCACCGCTGTTTGCATTGTCTGGCAGATTGTCTGGTTTGATTCTAGGCATTTTTCGAGAGTTGTAACGTTCGCCATATGCCAAATTCGACCGTGGACGTTGATCGCGCTTAGCTTCATTGCCAGCCTTGTGACAGCACTCTTGTACGCCGGTTATCTCCTTGTCCTTTATAATCTTCGACGTATATGGGATGTTTCTGCTCCATCATGTACGAAAGATCGGAATTTGTACACCCCGCGATTCATAGCTGCAATTATACTACTCTCTGCTACGACATATTGGATCACGCATGTTGTCTCATCGTTCGGACATGTACTCGGGGCCCTTTTTACGAAGAATCACGTACTTTTAAATATCCAGAGCGACTCCAGACATTCAAACATTCGAAGGACGGCAGTTCAGACGACACTCCGCTTAACTTACAGCAGCGTATGCTTTGGTGCGGGACTTTTATCCTTCTCGGTGTTTTTGAAAGATCTGGGAATGGCTTCAGGGCAAAATATATCGCTCACTCCAGATTCAAGTCTTCATTCTACAACTGGAGCTCTCTTATTAACTCTTTTGGTGTATCTCACACCCTTCCACGCCGCTCTTGATTCCAAACACTCGGACTGGACCTTTTCTATGATGGCCCTTGATTCCACTACATACTGGCAAGCTAACAAATCCGGTGTTGCCTTAATGTCAGTAGCTGGTTTGGACATTCTCAAGGAATCGGGATTGTTCCAAATGATCTCATACTTCCCCGTCGTGATTGGTCTGATCAGCGCTCTTTCAACATTTTTCTTAGTCACCCTTAAGCCTGGCCCCGTTGTGGAAACCAAAGATCTTCTAATAGCCGAAGTTCTGGTAGCTTTCGGTTTCTTTGGAGGTGCGCAAATTGCGAGAGCTGCGTTTGCTCCATTCAAGGGAGCTATGTGTACCATTTTCGTTATGATGGCAAGAGATCCGGCTGTTTTCCAGGAACATTATGGACAGATTTGGACTCGCTTGGAGGAGCTTCATTCCGGTGTTGCGGAGGCGTTGTTGAAGTGAAAGAATGGAGATATGATTGTCGAGATTTGAATGGGACTTTGAGATACTGGATGGGGGTGATTACTTATGGGTGGTTGGTTGGTCTGGCGATGGAGATTTGATTGTTGAGGTTCAAGGGGGACAATGATATGCTGGATGGAGGTGGTTACTTTATGGTTGCTTGGTCAGAGAGATATAGGTGGTTAGTTGCTTGGGATTGAAATGAACATTAGCTTGACGAGAACGATGGAATGGGATTCGGACTGGGATTCGGGCTGGGATTAATACTGGGGTTTGATGATGAGCTATTGCCATGAATGACACTACACTTTTTTGCTCTCGATACTTGGATTCTCTGCAAGTGACTATTAATGATGTCTCAAATACTACCTTGTGGAAATCTTCAGGTTTGTGCCGGCCTAGGACTGAGCGGCCTCATCGATGAAATGAAAACTGCAAGTCGGAAAAACTGAAGATGAGAGCATTCTATTGATGGTCGATGTGGCGATTAGATTGCTTGATGTATCATGCTTGTGACTCACTGCTCATGATTAATCAGTCTCGGGGAGGAAATGTTTCACACTATATAGTCTATCGTGGGCATTGAGTACGGCTTCGGTGGTTCTCAAATGTTAATTAAGTTCGTCTGTTACTTCTTCTATCAAGCTGTTAACCCTCTCAGCGTTAAACTTGCTTACTTATTTATATCTTCGGTTGTTCATAATCAGCATCCTGATAGCTCTGTTATACAAAGTTTTTCTACGACTAGCTAGATAGATTTCAAGATCGATGTGGTTTAGTATCTATTTCTCGGATCAGATGAATTATTTTACCTATCGATAAGACATTTAATTGGATATAAAAGTAGTATCGAATTAATTCGTTAGAGAGATGTTATTTTACAGTCAAAAATTCTATCTTAAAGTAAGATGGAATGCTTTATATACAGCAGATAATATCTTATAATTTAGATTTATTATAAATAATTTTTTAATCTTGTTATTATATAATAATAATTTATTTCAATAATTATATTATCTGAAAACTTCGAAAGAGAATACCAAAGAAAATAAGAGAAAGAAATTAAAATAAACAATAAACAAAGATTTTTATATTTTTATTGATATGATTAGTTTGAGGAGAATATAGATGACGTAGAACCTACTATAATTATAATAGATTCGAAACGTTAATTTTTATCTTCTATCTAAAGAACTAGCTCTCTATAGAGACATTAGGTCTCTTTAATAACTATTAAAAGAGCTAGTCTCTTTTATATTTACTTAGATAATATATTGATCATATTGAGTTAAAGTTATCTGTATTTGTAAAAACATTCTCTTATAATTTGTGAAATTTGTTTTGTTAAATTAAAGTATACTCTTTGAATTTAGTATAACTAATAATTAAATATTTATTCTGATTTAGTTAATACGATAGTAATAAATATTATGAGTAAAAATATTAGAATTCAGTTATTTAATTTCTATAAAAAAAATTGAATGATTAGATAATAGACCTAGAGTTAATCTAGTAGTTAGAGATTCTTTTTAAAGAATCTTTAGTATATTAAATAAGGGTTAGTTCTTATATAATAATTTAATAATCAAGATTAGATTTAGCTCGTTTATTAAGTAGTTACGCTAGACTGAATCTCAATTATAGTTATTCGACAATTTTAAATATTTATTAAAATACAAATTAAAAATAAAATTTGTTACATAATAGAACTTTTAGAATTTTATGATTGCAGATTTTTAATAATTGAGTATTTTAATTTATTTACACACAAACTTTTCTAAACTGTTATACAATTAGAAAAGAAAAAAATTAAAATATATAAAAGATTTCAGCAATTGTTTAACTGATCTAATCGACTCTCATCTAACATATAAGCTATTATTCAAACTAGAGGAGAATCTCTTAACTTAGAAATTTATCAAGATCAAAAATGTTATATATACAGGTCTGGATTTAGTTCAATAAGTATTAATTATCATAGCTTATTAACTTTCACTTAGTCCACTATTACCGCAAACATGTATGTACTAGGTATGTAATCTTACATCTTTTACCTCTGCATGATTTCAATCAGACTTATCCAACAGTACGCTACCTGAGATTGACAGGGCGAAGCAATCTCTAATATCCAAAAAAAACAGCACCAAATCCGACAGAAACATCCAAACACTTCAGATTACCCCCCAAGACCTTCAGTTATACTTCAGGAAAAGTCATGCGCTACACGTATAATCTCCCGCACTCTTAACCTTTAACCCAGACTTTGAAACACCTCGGATCATTCGTGAAAGAGTGCATTCTTCTTTGCAAAATTCCTTGAAATAATTACACAAGCTTTTGAACATCCGGTTCCGAAACAGACATCGAGATCTTCCAAATCGAGCGCAACGTTTTGCTTTCTCATCGTTCGAAAGCAGAGTTAAATCGATACTCTAATGATCTGAATTGGCTGAGTTATTGGGACATATATGATCTTTTTCAATGTCGTGACTCATACCATCTACCAGCAATGAGCACATGAGATCTCATTCCACATTTGAATGTTTCATCATTCATTCACATAGCGACACACCTCAACGCACTCCAGATGGCACGGCACAAGAGAAAAGAAAGCAGACATGGCATCAGCTGACACAACATCTCCCAATAGATTAAAAAAAATAGTAAGAGTCCAAGAAGAATTCCAAATGACTAATCCCCTCTATAACAATCAAACATGGATATCCAACCGCTGTCTCGCTAAGGATTTTTTTAAAGACTGCGAGATAAATAATATACCGAGGTTTGAACGGAGATATTCTGTATGGTATCGATTTTCTTTACTGCACTCAATAATAGTAATGTAGTACAAATTTTGTATTCAATTCAGAAATGAGCTCTTTGATACTGAGTCGTACTTCGAGGGGGGGGGTGAATCACCAGGGGATTCCTCTTCGTGTCTACACTCTCATTCTCATTCTCATTCCCGCCCCAAGCACCAGAGCTCTATAACAATACAGATATCAGCCATTCTTCGTCTAATCGTCGCCTTTTCCATAGAGCACAGCAACTCTTGTAATAAACCAATCTATAAATGAATGTAAGATCTTAATAAAATAATACTGTCACGGGTTCAATACGTAGCTATGTGGATGCCTTAGGCATCCGCCCTCCATATAGTCGGCGCCTCTCTGCCTCCTTCTTTACTCCTTGTAGAATATCATATATCTTACCTAGTATCTATTTTCTGTATTGTGATAATATATTTTATTTTACAAAAGAATCTTGTTATAACAAAAGCAATCTAATTCTGAAAAGAAATTTTTTGTTTCTATTTTCATCTGCTCAAGGCAGGTCTTTTTATAGTTTTTATAATCTTTTGCGCTTTTTGCACCTTTTATATTTCTTTATCTTCGCCTTTATCTTCATTTTTGTCTTTATCTTCGTCTTATCCTCTTTTCCTATTATAACTAACACACCAAGTACTTCGAGCACTAATTTACTACTACTTATTTTGCCTGAAACATTTAGAGCTGAAATCAATAATACTTTTAATTAATGGTAATAAATTGCAGGAAAACTATCTAGCCTTCAAGATCATAAACTTCACAGCCCCTTTCCTTTATTAATATTAATACAAGATTAATAGGATTACCTTAATTATTTATATAATATTATTAATCATACATTCGATTTACTCTTTATTATTCAATAAGCACTCGAATGAGATTTGGCTATAGAGTATTTCCTCAAGATTACTATAGAAAATCAATTAAGCACTCAACTTCAATTGATTCAATTGCTGTAATCTCAATTTGCATAAAATCCATCAAGTATTTCTGCTCAAGGTAAAGCTGGCCAACAATAAACTTCAAAGAATCTTAAGCCCTTTCGAGAAAAGAAAACAGGATTAATATCTCAATAAAAGGAATATATTGTTTGGAAGTAAGGCTTACAAATCTGCTGGATAATCGATCTGATTATTTTCAATATAAAAAGAAGAAGCTTTTGTATTTAGCCTTTCTTATTGATAGCTATACATATCAAAAAAAATTGATTAATATAAATAAGATTATTAATGGAACCTTAATCCATACTATTAATAACTCCTTTTTCAATAAACTCAATGGGCTTTATATCTCAGTCGATATGATATGTGAAGTCTTGATCCGATTTAATAAACTCAAGATAATCAATAAGATATCTTTTTCAGCTTTTTATATTCAATTAAAACATTTTGATATAATATATTATAAGCAATTATACAAAATAATTATAATAATGAAAATAAAGGTTTTCTATAATCTTCAATAACTATTTATATAAGATTCCAATCCTTATTCTCTTATCAATATCAAAGGTTGAAAATAAAAGTTTGAAGTTTGGAATTAGAATTTATAGAAGAATAAATATCTTTTGAAATCAAAAATGAACTTGAGCTTTATATACCTCTATATATTCCCAACTAATATATTATTTATTATATCAGTATTATCTAAATCTATGAATTTCGATATTTTCAAAATACAAAATCAATAATGAGATGAGGAATGTCAATTTGATCTTTATTATTATTACAAGAAATCTGGTTATTTGGTATGGGATTATAATATCAAGAAATAAGCGGATACACAATGAACAGCTAGAGAAAGCTCCGGATTCACGGGTTCCTATGAAGGTTTCGGTGGTTGTGGCTTGTATCAAAATACTTCCATTGATTGAGGTAATTAATACTCTAATCAATATTCTAATAATTAGGGAGGATCTTATAATCAAAACGATTTTCAGAAATACAATTCTCAGAATAATTATAGTAACAATAACAATAACCGAAATAACCCCAAATCTTATCAGCAACTTAATGTATTCTATAACTATATCGAGAATGATTCTTTATTACCCTTTAAGAGTGCCTCCAATATATTTGCATAGAATACAGTTCTGTTATCTGTTCAATCTGGTCTATACAATCTCTTGGGAAATGTGTTACCTTCATAATAAATCGTTTACAAAGATCATTT